TTAAGTTTTGATAAATATTAAACCAGGAGTGGGGCAAAACACAAGTCTGGATATGGTCCATAGCCAATCATTTGATTGTCTTTACTAATTTAGCAAATGTATCTTAGTAACTTAGTATATATCATGGCTATTCTGGGTGCAGGGATTCTATAAGCATGAACACAATATCATTCCTCCCTTGGGGTAAGACATGTAGCTAAACAATTATACTATGAGGCAGGAGTGAGTATATATCATCAAAAAGAGATCAGTGCCATACAGAGAGAGTTCAGAAAAGAAAATTAATAAATTCCAGGTAAGGGAATCATGAATTTTCACACCAATGTCCAGAGACAATAGTGCTCGCCTTTGTGTAAACTATCAGAATAACTAGATATGTGGTTATTAAATGTTAAGGAGATGGAGAGTAGGGTAAATTGTTTATCTGGGAGGCTGGGCTTGGGAAATAAGGCAAACAATAAAGTGGTAACACCCCTCCCCCTTCTTGAGATATCCACTTGAGAATTTAATATCTTTAAGTTTTATTGAGGAAAAATATATTTACTGTGGAATAAAACACTTTGATGGCTGGAGGAGGGAAGAAAGGAGGCTGAAGGATGGGAGGGGGATCCTTTCATATTTCACAGATGTTGATTTCCAGTTTCTGCCTAGGGGCCAGAGCATAATGATACAAGTCAAAACACAGAGACTACACAGAGACAACTAACAGCATCCAGCAAGGAAATTATAAAAGCTCAAAAAATATTTCCAGCGGCTAAATAAATACCTTTCCTTGTAGTTGATCTTTGTTTTGTTTTTCTTTTCATTGACTGAAATTTGAAAAGGGACGTAGACTATATTGCCTTTTCCAAGTTCTAGTTTACATAAAAGTATAATCTATGAAAATAAAAATTTCCATATATAAATGATTAAACTATATTGTTATCAGCTACTAGTTATCTATGTATTTTACTTAAAAACTGGTGAGCAATGAGAAAGATTTTAAACTATGATTAATAAAAGTGATAGATGACTTACTTTTCATATAAAACCATGGCTTGCTTTCAGGACACTTTAGAAATATGTTCAAAATATGTAGAAAACTCCACAGCATAGTGCTTGAATTTACACACACATTCCAAGGCAAGTAAGAATCCGAATGAGTACTTTCACATCAGGCTACTCATTTATTTTTGCAGTCCACATTTAAAACAACTACAAGATTAATTTCATTCCATTTCTGGACTTACACATCCTGAAAGTAAGAAAAAAATTCCATTTTGGAAGTATAATAAATGTTACTTGTAAACAAGGCTAGAAAGGGTGGAGAGTGGAATGGGATGGGGGTGGGGCAAAAAACCCTTTAGTTACAATGTCTTAGGGAAATGAATCTACGATAAGACAAATTTCAAATCAAGTTGCTCCACTATACTACATAAGCAGCTTAGAATCTTAAGCAGATGCAAAAAGAATACAGCAAATGGGAGGGGAAAAAAAAGGCCGATAAAGTTTCTGGCTACAATACAAGAGACATATCATTACCATATGATCTAATGTGGGTGTCAGCGGGATTGTGTTCATTGAGGGAAACCTTATTTTCTAACCGTGCTATGGAGTAGAAGCAGGAGGTTTTCAAGTTAGTGACAGTCACAGAGCAGCACCTATCCCCTCCTCCTTTCCACACCTGCAAACTCTTTGACTTGGGCTGAATATTTAGTGTAATTACATCTCAGCTTTGAGGGCTCCCGTGGCAAATTCCTGGATTAAAAGGTATGGTTTTCAATAATCGTCCTGAACTCTGCTACAGACTAATAAAACTTCCAGGCAAACTGAGAGCAAAAGGGATTATTTGGTGAGAAAAAGAAATGTAAAAAAAAAAAATGTTAAACTTTTATAGTCTTTATGCAACATTTTAAACAAGTATTGTTTGAAAACAGACGTTAAATAGTTGGTAAAATGATTGAATGTACTGTTTTACTTTTCTTTCTTTTCTGTTTTTGCAAAGATGCTTTTTTAAAAACTGTAACCTAACACCAGGACTCTATCTTGATGTTTTTGTGTCTGCATTAATGAATGTTTAGCTCTTTAGGAGGTGGTAAAAGTATTCTAAAGTAGCATACAATTTGTAATTGAGCTATGTATTTAAAAATGTATTTTTCTCCTGAATTTTTGTCTGCTTTAAGAACTTTTAAAACCCCCAAACAAGTGAGCTCTGGTGATTAGCTGAAGATAGCTAATGTACATTTCTTCAACCCCAGAAAGGAATAGAAATTATCACCAGAGAAGTGAAAACAAACATTGAAAATATTTATGTTATTAAATGCCTAAGATATTCACAATGCTGAATAATTTCTTAAATGTTAAGTGTCCTAGTCAGTATTTTCACTGCAGGTGAAATTTTAAGACACATTCACTATAAAATGAGGATGTGGGTTAATTTTCTAATTTTAAAGCAGGGTAACACAGTGACCACTGGGTAAGTGGGCTCCCAGTGATGTAAATACCTGTGGCTTTTTTTTTTTTCTTGTTGCTCTTTCTAACCAGAAAAAGAGCCAAATGCCTCCTATAGTAGTCCTTGTTTGCTGATAAATGCTGCTTTTATTCTTTATTTTTAAATTTTATCTATTATTATTGAAGTTTTTAATCATCTAGTGCTGTAGGATTTAATGTTTCTTTGCATTTATAGCTTCACTTATCTCTTGAGGGTTAAATTTTGTCTTTGAAAGTGACACCAAAGGCATAGATGACATAATGCAAACGTTCATCTGAATGACACAGTTCATTTAGTGGACTTAAGTAGTTTTAGGGACCAGAAATTATTGTTTTTGGTAAAACATTTGTAAACTATGGCAACTAGCTTTAGTGGAGCAATTATATTACATTAGTACTTACCATCTTGGAAAGTGGAAAGTGTCATGAATTTTGAGACTACTTAAAACAGTTTCATTAAAATTTAAACAGCATATCATCTCAATAACAATCTCCTTGGTTTCTACCTGGACAGCTGCTCTTTGCTCTTTATATGTCTAATTAATTGAGGAAATAAGGAAACGACTAAAGGAATTATCAGCATTGACAGCTCACATTAAATGTTTTAAGATACTCGGTCTTCAAGTACCATGACACTAATTTAAAAGAGATGATTTTATGGAAGAATTTGCACAAAGTTTCCACATATGCTATTTTTTTTCCACAGGACAGTCAGGATTAAATGCACACATATGCACATTCTCTCTCTCTCTTTTTCACACACACACACACACACGCACACACACACACACACACAAGCAAATGAAAGTGAAATAAAAATCAGTGGTTGAAGTCGTAAGATGCCTGTCTATATTCAGCTTCAATCTAAAAGAATATTGTTAGGAGAATTTGCACCATTTTAACAGGAGTAAACAAACATAAATTGTAATACTGTTCCTCTCAGTTAATGCTCAACATTTTCTTTTTTTGGGTTGTTAGCGAAACAACCAGGCATTTTCTGCTCTGGAGAAAAGATTTCAAAGCGACATCTGCATTAACTGTGGTTGCTATTTATTAAATCTGCAATTACTTTGCTTCATTTTTCTTTTAAACTTGTAAGGCATTAAATATGCAAGGCAAGCAAGCTTGTGGTAAACCATAAACATTGCATTTTTAATGGGAAACAGATACAAAACCACTCCCTCAGCTACAATCCAAGGGAACAGGCTGCCAACGCAAGTCTTCTCTTAAAAGAAACTCAGCAACTGAGTGGGAGTGGGCTCCTAGACAAAGCTTAATGTTGAACTTAAAGTGGCAGTGCGAATAATAATCTTTATGATGTTTTTTTTTTAAATGAAAAGCCACAAGCCCATATTCAACATGTGCTGCTTTAGACATATATCAGTAGTAAATATAAACTAAGGAAAGATGTAAGAAACTAAAAAACATTTGTTTCTTCTTTAGCGATTCCAGGCCAAAATTTCCAGAAGATACCTTAGGGTTAGAACATACAAAAATCTTTGTTTTCCCTTTTTCTTTTCTTTTCTCTTCTTCCTTCCTTTCTTCTTCTTCTTCTTTTTTTTTTTTAACATACACTACAATTGGATAATGACTCAAAACTCCTCACACAAAACAACCCAGCTTTAATGTGGACTCTTCTAAGTGTACAATTCAAGGTACAGATGATGAGGCTAAATATCTACAATGTTTTGGAGCTATCAGAATAGTTTCAGTGAGATTTGAAAATATTTAATCCCCAAAATGACTTTGTTTCTATATAATCAAGTACCTTTTGTTATTCAGATTAATTATGATTTTGTCACTGAGATTTATTTAGTGCACTTCAATTGATTTAACAACATAGATTCGTGCTTGTGGAATGAATGAAATAAATGTGCAATACATTTATTGAAACAGTACTTTGTTTTTTACAAAATGCCCTTTTGGCAAAAGAAGACCATATATACATCATATGAAAATCAGTTAGGATTGTCCATATGTGTTTATTAGCTTATTAAAAATAACATTTGAGAAACTAGGGAATTGATTTATTTTTTAAAGTCGATCTTGCTTATACCAAGTTGAAGTTTTCAATCTGATGACTTTTTTATATCAGAAATTTGATATTGAAAAAAAAGCTAATTTTGTGTTTTAAAAAATCGAACTGATTGCTTGGAACAAATGGAATAAATCATATTGTGAATAAAGTGATGGCCATTTGAGTCATTTGTGTGCAAAATATTGTGCAAGGCGCGGGTACAGAACAAGGAATAATAAGACACGCCCTGAAGCAGTACATCGTCTAGTGGGGGGACAGACCAAGCACGCAAAGCAAATTGCAATATAATGTGATAAGTTATTTAAAAGAGGTAAGAGCAACGTGCTTTGGGAACAGAGAAGAGGGAGAAAGCAGCATCCTGCCTGGATGAGCCAGGGAACACAGAAGAGAAGACCACTATCTCATTTAATCTTTACAACACTCTTGCAAGGTAGGTATGCTACATGGCAAGTAGCTTTGATTGTCATGGTTCAGGTGAGGGTGGGGAATGCAGTGACAATAAAAAGGAATGTGGCTAGAGCTACTAATTTGTATCAAATTATGAGTGGTCTGAAAACAGCACAGGGACTGTGGACAGTATTGATAAACTATAAGAAGTTAACAAATGATTTGTAGTAGAAATTAATAAATGACATTGAATTTTTAGAAGGTGATTCAGGCAGCAAAGTGGAAGATGGCCTGAAATAGAGGAAATATGCAAGGCAGAAATGAATTGGAAGCTCTTGTAGTGGTTCAGGGAGAGATAAGAAGGGCCTAGACCAAAATAAATGTGGTGGGATGAGAGATGTGACTGGCTTCCAGAAATATTTCTGAAGCAGAAATTGGAGATCTCCTAGTGTATAGAGAGAATTTTATTTGACCACGGCAAGGCTTGTGTTAAGTAAGGATTGAAAAGTCCAACATGATTGACTATCATGACAATTTTGCAAATGATTTGGATATATAGTATATCATCATAGTTCAGACCCAAGATTCAAACAAGCAGATTTAAATAATATTCAGGTTTCTCATCCTAAGTAAATAGCTGTGCAAATGATGTTAAAATGTATCTGATCACCTTTCAATACATCTTTAATGCTCTGTTTCCTGATAATAAATGAAAGATGATTTTTCACCTTTTCTCTGTGCTCACTCTATTGTGGCATATTATATGAGAAACAACATACAATATAGGCAGTGCTATTTTTCTTAAATCTCTCACTTGTTTCCTAGGTTCCCTGGTTGTGAAAATACATGAGATAAATCATGAAGGCCACTATCATCCTCCTTCTGCTTGTACAAGTTTCCTGGGCCGGACCGTTTCAACAGAGAGGCTTATTTGACTTTATGCTAGAAGATGAGGCTTCTGGGATAGGCCCAGAAGACCCTTATGACCCCGGTTTAGAGACACCCCTAGGCCCAGTGTGCCCCTTCCGCTGTCAATGCCATCTTCGAGTGGTCCAGTGTTCTGATTTGGGTGAGTGGGATGCAGGTTCTCTTTACCTATCTTATTTGTTTTGTTCTTGAGAATGGAAACTCTGAGAGTTTAGCGTTTTCAGTTTTAATATCTCCAAATGTGAGAGACAGTGCCACCTAATGAGCAGTAAAGGAAGCAGAGCAGGAGAGAAAGAAAAGCAGCTTTGTGATTCTCTCTCTCCTCTGTCGCTTTCTCTTTCTTCCTTCTTTCCTCCATTACTTTGCAATCTTGGACAAATCACTTTTAAAAATATTTCTGAGCTTTACATCCCTTCTTCTACAAAATAAAATTTTGAGCTGAACAATGTCTTATGTTCTAAAATTTCAGTTATGGTTTAATCTTAATTCTGTAATGTGCTTTTATGATATATTAGATATTAAGGAAACCAGGTCAGTCTCTCTACTATTCACTTAGCCCAGATAACAGAGTTTCAATATTACTAAAGTGAAAATATGCAGTTATCAAAAGCAAAACACGTAAATTTTTATGGCCAAATCTTATCTTTCAAGTACCAAAATACTCCCTTAATCTCTGAGTCTTCATTTTGTCTTTACTTTTGACATGTCGTAATCTAGCTGCTTATATTGTTTAGAAAGTTTCAAAGGAAATATTTATCATTAAGGTATGGTAAATATTCAGTATAATCGTGTTACATATATCTTTAGCCTAGCACCCTAAAGACCATTTGATTTATCATCTTTTAAGAAAAATTTGGTCTGGAAATTCCAAGGGCAATACATTTAGAAGATAAGTCTCCAGAAACATTGAAGCTCAGTATATGGACCAAAGGGAAATGAGCTCAGTTTACATGGCAGCTGATTCACATTCCTTTTTCTGAAGGGGTGTATTTTCTTATTGCAGATTTAAAGGGAAAAAAAATCTTTATGTCATGATTCTGCCATGTGTACTTCCTTCTGGAAGAAATCCCATACTACGATCAGGCACTTCTTTCAGTCCTAGAAAATGCTTTCTAGCAGTAGTTTGCAGAAAAAAAAAAAAAGCCACTAACTTCTACAATTGCAATAAACTATCTACAGGAACCCAGAAAAACATAAAATATATTCAGTGGTAACAACTGAAAAACAAACACTTGAAAGAGCTTCTTCAATGCATGTATTGTATAGCCATTTAAAACCCAATAAAAACTTTATAGAAAGGCTTTCAAAAGGCCACAGGATAATTCTGGTGGATTGATTTGTTCACTCATTCAGCAACTAAGATCAGCTCTGCTCTAGGCATGGGGAGGAAAGGATGAGGAAGACAGATATGGCCCTTGTTATTGTGGATCTTATATTCTAGTGGTTGTAACTACTACTTTTTGAATCGTGTATTTGCCACAGAGGAGATTGAATTACTCTTTAGAAAGTTTATAAGAATCTAGAGATGACCTGCATTATTTTGGGCAGGAAAATAACAGGGTTGAAAAAATCTGAACAAAGGAGTCACCATTTGATGGATATGCACGGGATAATCTTTTGTGAAGTTACTAAAATGGCGAAGTTCCCAAAGAATGTGATGCGGGTTAAATTTTACTTAGCCTCTGAGAACAAGTTAAAATAATTTACTATTATTCCCATTTTGTTATCAAAAATGAAGGGTTGATGTTTTTAAGGAAAGAAGAGTTGGCCAGTCACTTTGCTGAAGTTTTATTTTTTCATAAGTATAGTTTGCCTTTGCTTTCATGAAAAATAGTTCATAAAGCTTGACCCTGATGAAAGCATTGGTCTAGTTTTCCAATTCTCTGTTATGTAAAAAGGCATAAGTCTATTGTTCAAAGCGAAACAACAACAAATTGTAGTCTTTGGAAACAGCAAGTTCACTGACTTGGGAGCTTTATGATAATTTTGTTGTTTGCGTTGATATCGTTTTGTTTATTTTGTTTTGTTTTTAGATGAGAAAGTTTTCTACGTGTTATCTTTCTTCTAGGAGCTCAAAGTATACATCATTCCTTTATTACAGCTAGGTTTACTGACCCATATACTAAGGAAGTAGCTAAAATTATTTTTAAAAAATTGATTTTAAGACCATATTTAACTAAGAGAACTAAAGTTCCAATGAGCAATGCTCTCATACAAGGTATTTTCAATATTTTAAAATTTACAGGTGAATATTTAAATATATTATAACATTTTTAATCAGATATTTCTAAGAAAATACATTTCTTAAAGGGAACTGAAATTCACTTGACTTTACAAAAATGAGCTCATTTCATATTTTTTCTATTATCTAACTCTTTCTTACTTTATGATGATGGCAAGCTGTTGAGAGCCTTGACATCTTCATTTGCAGAAAAATCACAGTCTTAGAAATTCTGTTAAATGTGTGAGGTACCTGGGTCATAGTTGTAGCTTAATGCATTTTTAAAATTATATGATGATTATATGTAGTAACAGATGAAGAAAAAAAGAAAGGAAGGAAGGAGAAATGGACCTCCTCATTCATTATAAATGCAATACAGTTGATTTTTTTCTGTGTTTATGTCCTCTAGTAATCTAAGCATGAAGCTCGAATTGTTGTTATAAAGAAAATAAATGCAATGCAGTTGGGGACCACAAATGTTAATGCTTATCTGTATCAAAAACCAACGTTGTGTTCAGGATTATCCTTGGTAGATTATCCTTGGCAGACATTTAATGAGCAGAGAGGAGCTACAGTGTTAAAGGACAATAGTCCTTTGTCATCTTATTATCTAAACGATGTTTAATATAAACTTTTAAAATTAAAATGTTTGACTACTTTTTCCCAGTAAGAAATATTCTTGGCAAAGTTAAGTAACATCAAATTTTTAAACAATTCTTTCAAATGTAAGAAGTAAAAAACTGTGAAATTAAAATTATGTAATTATTCTGCAGGGTAGTTTGAGGCCTCTGGAAGATGCATGGACTGTTTTAGTCCCTAATTCTAATTTATCACTGTAGTATTAAAACGTGTTTCTTTTTTTCTTTAGAGGATGAGGGATTGAGATAGTAAACATGAATTCTTCGTAGATATTGGCCAAGTTGTTTTGTTGAACTTGTAACTTACCTTGTAATTGGAACCACAATTTTATGAGACTCATATCTTGTCTTCTTTTATCTATCATGTTAAGACGTAAACCAGTTCTCTCTTAATTATAGCATTTATTTCAAAAAAGCAATGTTAACAATAAATGTAGAGTTAGCAAATTCAGTCTTTCAGTTACTTTGTAATAATAAATCCACAATGTAACTCGTTCTTTTAAAATCAAATGTTTTTAAAATGTCCTGATTTTGATTCGATTCTCTATTTTATATGTTTGACATACTGAAGGAAGATAGTTTTCCTTACTTAGGTACTCTTTGACCCAGCTATCATCTTTGGATCAAGTGTCACCAGGTAGTATAATTTGGTATGAACTTATACCTCATCACTGAAATGCAAATTAACCCTGACAAGTCAAAAAAAGACAAGTATTGTCTTTGACTAGTCTCCAAAATTAAAATAATAATTCTGGATATATTTATTATAAACAAATTTCAAAAGAATTGAAATACCTCTTAAAACTGTTTAATAGTGGAAAACACTTGGGCTGTGCAGTTAAACACCTCTGATCTCAAATTCTGCTTTGCTGTTCACTACCTGTAACCTTGAAACTTTCAGAAGTTTGTTTCCTTGTTTAATAAGTGGAAATGTATCTTATTTCACTGGATAAGAATAGAAAATATATGTAAAAATGCTTAATATAGTAACATATTTCGCTTACCATTTCAGACAAAGCGGACTAAGAACATGATGCTGTTTCTGATATTTTCTTTTATTTTTATTATTGAGAATAATAAGTATAAGCCATATACTTATTAGAGACTCTTAATGGTTTGCACTTATTATTCTCAATTCAAATGATATCATCTTTTACTCATTGAAAATAAGTATAAGACTCCTAATAATTCGTTAATAAGCATATGGCTTGTCAAACTAGAGACAAAATAGTACCATCTCTCTCCACCTCTCTAAAGAGGACCACATCATCTCCAAATGTAAATAGACAAAAATTACAAAAACAATTGCACATTTAGCAAGCAATTGAATATTCTCCAAACCAATATTCCTTTGAACAAAATGAGTTTGTTTGATTTGAGAACAATGAAGCATTTGGCTATTTTATAATCATAAATGATTCATACCCCACACAGTCCTCTAGAAATGGTGCCAGAAGAAGAAACACATTTGAATCTGCCATATAAAAGCATTGCAAATAACTACTGGTTTCTAATAATGTAGCTTATAATGCAAATAATGTTTTAACTTTTAAAATCTCAGAAAAAGTACAACCTTTTAAATTATATGGTTGCTTCCTCTTCATAATCATGTTTCTTGAACTGGTGAAAAATTTTGTCAGTGGTTACCAATTGGGACGTACTGTACTACAGCGTCTCGCTTGGCTGGGAAAACTGGTTTCCCAGAAGCAGACCTTATACATGAGGTAAATGAACCGTTAGACTTCTCCCATGAAATCAACCCAGAAAAATAAATTGTACTGTTTTGCAGAGAAACAGACAGAATGCTAGAGGCTTAGTTGCCTTTTATTTTATGTCTGGCTCTGCAGCAGCAGGGGTATGAGGGGTTCCTCATTCAGAGTTTTGGATGCACCAAAAGGGTGTTTCCAAAACATGATATGGGAAGGAGGCTGTGAACAGAACATGCCACTGGGTTGCCTAAAGTGACATTGAGTAGGAGTGGAGTATGGGTGATCTTCAGATGAAGCAAGAGTAATGCTCAATGCAAGCCAGTTAAACAAGTCTCCTGACTCAAGGGGTTAAAGAAGGAGAGGGGTAAGAGAGGGAGTCAAGAAGACCAAAGGAAGTGTCTGTCTTCTTGACCTGACTGAGAACTAACATAGCCCTGGTTTCCTTCTCGACCCCAGGAGGGAGAGAGAGGCAGCTGTGTGGGATCAAGGCATTTTGTTAGACTGCAGCTGGGATTCATTCTCCTTTGGAAGAACATCCCTAGCTCCAGGGGATATGGTGGGAATTGGTTAGCTA